AAAAAAAAAAAAAAAAAAAGATTTGGGCTGAACAGCATACAGGATGCAATCCATTTCATGTCATACAGTTAATTTGATCTTATTTGTTAAACTTGTATTTAAACAGATGCTGTCTTGTGGTGTTGCCAGAAATACAATGGTTGATCACTTGTAAATTTTAATACACTTTTTTTTCTTTCTTCACATAAAAAAGAAGTCAACGAAATAAAAATAAACTGCACATCTCTATTGTAAATTACATGCAAAAATAGTTTGAAAGCAGTAGCTGGGGTTATTACAAACCCACAGAGGCAAGACATTCAAATGTTGGGGTCCTTGGGCGCCCTGGGCTGGGCCCCTTCATTTCCAATCTCTTGCTTTTGTGGATTCAAGTCAGAGCTGTATTTCCATGGTGCTTGGGCCAGTGGCTTTAGCACCATTCAAAAAAAAAAACGAAGAAAAAATACTCCCCCCCCCTCCCCATCCCGGCCTCTGCCACGGGCTTTCCCATGGAGAGCCCCAAGGTGCTCGTATTCACAAATACGTCTCAAATTCAATTTATTTTTAGAGGACATTCTTTTTTAAAAAGAAAAATCACTTCTAAGTTTCAGCAAAAAAACACACAAAAAAAGAGAAAAGCATTTTACCAATGCTTATGGTGTAACAAAGGTCAGTTAATTATTTAGACACGCTATTAATTATTCTGCAAATATATATATTTCTATTTTTATAAAATTACAATTTCATATACCTACAAGCTCCTTCATGAGCAACAAAACCATCAGAGGTGTGATGAGCCCAGCTAAGCTGTCCTTGGCAACTGAAAATGTGCTAAACTTCCATTTATTATTTTTTATTGACATTTCGGGGAGACAACCCGGTTAGATTTTTTCCAAGCTTTAGCCCACAAATTTTGCCTTTTTTTTTTTTCCTCTCTTATTTTTTCGGGGCGAGCTTTTCAGAGGCACCAGGGTACCCATCTCCCAGGGTAACCGGGGAGTGCCCAAGTCCCACAGGCTCCTCTGAAAGTCCTTACCCCCCCAAAAAGAGCTGGCTGGGGCTGAACCCCCCCTGCTCACTCCAGTCCCCCCGATGTGCCCCTGCCCGGCAGGATGGGGCCAGGAGGCATCTGAGCAGCTTTGGGCTGCTGGAAGTCTCTGTGCTCCTCTGTGGCCGTGACAATAAATCTGTGATACCCAGCCTACAAAAAAATACCATCTCCCACCCCATCCCTGCCCCAAAGAAACAAAATAATTCTCTCTGATTTTATTCCAAGCTGCCTTGTACATTTTAAAGCAAGTTTTGTGGTCAAACCCACGATGGCCCTCGCCAGGTAGGTCCCAGCTGCTCTCACGCACACCGTTCCTGCTGCTCAAGCCTCACCCCAAGAACAATCATCGTTAAGGGCGATTAGAAGCTGTTGCAATTTGCTTTGTTGCTGCTAAAAGTGTATCCACAGCGGGGGCTGGCTGAGCCCTGCCACCGTCACCTTCTTCCAAAGGTAAAAAAAAAAAATAATCAAGTTTTATTTCCTAGTGGCTCCAGCAGCTGCACTGATTGTGCCAAACCCTGCCAGTCTCATTCCTCCACCCACGCATCCAGTGCCTTATACTGACCTTTAGAAAATAACTTACTACTCTTGAAACTTCGCTGCAGCACACAGAAATTCAATTTGCTGAATAAATGGTCCACAGGCAAGTACTGCACGTTAAGGGACGCTGAAAAGTTGGGTACGTTTGAGGAAAAATACTGGAAAAATGCCATTGATGCAAGGGTATTTTTAACGCTGAACAAAATGTTGAGTCCTTTGTAACAATCTCCTGAAGCGTGAATAATGATTTAATGGAATGAACAACCTTTTTATTTGAAAATAATGTCAAAACACTTAGAAAACTGTGAGCAAGACATGTAGCACCATATTTTCCTCACATGTTAATAACCGTATGCAGTACGCACAACTGTATACATGAACAGAGCTATTTATAAAAAAAAAAATTCAGCTGGAAACAGATTCTAGCAGCAGCAGCAGATTAGAAATGACTATGAGATTTTTTTTTTTTCTGTTACGTATTATTTTTCTGCCTTTTCAAAATATTGAATTGTCCAATCAATAGTTGACTACAATCCGTGTTGTGCTTTGTCCCTATTAAACAGTTTCGTTATGTGTTTCTGATGGAAAATAATAAAGTCTCTCTTTTTCAGTAATATGGAACATCCTGGAAAGCCATATTACTGCCATAAAAATTTAATTTAAAGCACAGAACATGCCGGTGTGCCAGTGGTAGGCTTAAAATATTAAAGATTTAAAAAACAACAACAACAACAACCAACAAACCCCTAAGCATTTCCTTTCTGTACAATAATGGAGAATATATATCTTTGCTATATATTTTAAACATGGAATAGCTTTTTCTTTTTGCTATATATATGTCTTTCAAAATACATTGTCAGTATTTGTACTTGAAAAATACTGTACAAAACGAACATACTATAATTATTCTGTATAAACTTTATACATTTTATAATATCTATTCTTTTGGTCTATAGTAAACACTTAGATTGATTGGATTAACCACAGTATATGACAACACCATCCCCTTCCGAAATACACCAGTGTCTCTTACATTCATTTTCCAGAAGTCCACTTTATATTAGAACATACGTATTCAAAAGCAAATAGAGAATTTAAAACGATAAATTTCAGAACCATCAGTTCATGTCACACTCAAAACAACAATCACTAGGAAAAATGGGCTTTGCAAACCAGTGACTTCTAACTGAATAAAAGTGATTTTTAAAACAGCAAGATATAATCCACAGAAAATATATTACAGAACGTGGGAAAAAACAACTGAATTTAGGTATTTATTTAAATTTTAATCACAAAATGGAACTTGAAGAAATGCATAACTAACTGAAAACAGAAAAGCCCCTCTGATTTCGACGTCGGATCTGATTTGATACTATTAATTTTGTTCTCGTTTCAACTAATTATCCTGCTTCTTATACATGCGCTCCCTAGAGACAGGGATACAATTAGCATGCTCACGTTAATGTGTCTTTTACTTCTTAACTTTTTGTTAAAGACATTAAAACTCCTGTTGGGTAGGGAAACCATCCTACGTCCACTAGGAACATCCGGGCAGCATGCGCTAGCGTACAATAGGATTATTGCTTCAGGTACAGACAGTGCAAAATACACACTCTGTGGTCTATGGAGAGCTCTGCTACTACCTGGGGTCCGGGGGAGGAAAAGGAACCTCAATAGCTAGAGAGAAGCCATTATGGGATCTATAATGAGTATCGCTAACTCAGTCTAACAGCACTTTAAATCTGAAGACAATTATCACCAAAACTTAAAATACAACAAAAGCAATCTATAAATTAATAGTTCTGCAGTGTAGTACTAAATTATTATTTGTGCACTTTATTAGCATGTTAACTTTTCTGATTAGACATACTTAAACAATAGCTTGTTACTCCCAAAAAAACTGAGATCTACTTTTTTTTCTTTTTTCTTTTTTTTTTTTTTCCTTTTTTTATAATTTATACTGGGATCTTTCCAAGTAAATCAGGAGGATGGAACTGGTTACAATAACATAAAAACCCTACTCTGAAGCAGCACTGAAATAAAAATATAATAAAAAGCTTACTATGGCGGTTCTCAACAGTCCAGGTAAAAATGTGGCACCCTTTGAAGAGGGCTTCATAAAAATGGGAAGTGCTGAGATGCGTGCGCACACACACACACACACACGCACACATGCACACACACAAGCCCCCCCACACATAGACAGACGTGTGAACACACGTGTGCACACATACGCAGGTACACGCATACGCAAACGAAACAAAACAAAACAAAACAAAAAAGTAACGTTAAGTCAGTTTTGTTTCTGCTTCTGGTAAAGTGCTGAAGACAGAAAGGTTGGTTTGGGTGTGGTGCTATCAAACAGGAAACACATTGTCCATCTATTCAAATGCCAACCCACAACAGAAAAAAAAAAAAGAAAAAAAAAGAAAAAAGAAAAAAAAAACCCCGCTCTTCCCCCTTGAATTTACAGGGGGCCGTGTCGAGCTTCGTACTTTGCAAGGACGTTCTTGCACTTGCCCAGCTCTTTCCGTAAGTCGGCCACCTCCTGGCGAAGGGCCGAGTTCTCCTTCTCCAGGAAGGAGGCGCGGATGGCGATCTGGTTCTCCTTCAGCCGGCGCGCATCCCTCGACCGCTTCGCAGCCATGTTGTTCTTTCTACGCCTTGCCCAGTATTTGTCATCCTGCTCATTAGACACAGAAAGAAACAAACAAGGTATTAGATTTCAGTAACCAGGCCACACCAGGATGTGCTCTCGGCCACAGCCTCCCCGCCTTTTGCTGCCCTGGCCCAGCCGGTGCCAGGCGCTGCTGGGACTGAAGCTCCAGATTTACACAGCACAATCCAGCCGGGGAGCACAGATGCCTCCCTGTGTTTCTGTCAAAATGTTTACCCCCAACCCCCTCATCCTCTCGACTGTGAACTCCTCCAAGGGAAAAAGAAGCAATATTCCAGTGGTACAATCCATCCCACATCTACGCTGACCTAGTTAGTGCATCCACCTTCGCATGCGATGACTCATTCTCCACCGGTCGCTGGAGCACTACTAATTACCTCTTGTGTGTTCCTGCTCAGCTTTGCCCGCCAACACCTGGTTCGCTCTGTTTGTTGGTATCATCCATTTCATTTACCTTTCAGGTCTTTTTTTCTCTTCAAGGCCCTTTCTCTACAGTTCCCCTGTCTGCACCCCAGGAGAGCAAGTCACTGGAGAGGATTCCTTGGCACAACAAGGATGGCTGCTTTGGTACCATCCGCAAAGAGATTAGTACAATAGGCTTTGACTGGGGGAAAAAAAGCATTTGCCAGAAATAGGTCCACTAACCTCTGAAGTTTCATAAGCTCACACGCTCCCAAAGTGTTACCCCTAAAGACTTGCCTCTAGGAGATCCCCTTATTGCATTGCTGCATCCACGGCTCTAAAGTCACGACTTCATTTCACTTGATTTTTCCAGTTTTCAAATGAAGCCGCCTTCAGCGAAATGGCAGCTTCAATGTTGCTTTGAAACTGAATTAAGTTCTAGAAATTTGGAACAAGTCAGCAAATACAAAGTGGGCAGAATCTCTCACAAAAAGTGAAATTCAGCCCCCTGCAGAGTAAGTGTGACGTACAACTCAGCTCTCAAACTGGACAAGTCCTATAGCTCAAACTTCCCCTCCCAGAGCCAGACCTCCATTTTTGTGTGGCTCTTGTGTCACCAAACATGGTGGCAAAGTTCCATACCCACCACCAGGACCAGGAGCCACTTGCTCAAGCTGCCCTGAACAGACCAATACCCCACCACTCCTCCATCTTTCAGCACAAAGTATCACAGGCCTAACATCCTCTGCTGCTGCCTGCTTAAGGAACAGCAGGAGCAAAACAACTGCTACAAGTACTCTACAACTGCTTTATATTAGTTTATATTAGTGTGCAGCAATGATGATTCAGAGCCAGAGTTACCTCTAAATTGCTCTTCACCTGTACTTAGACTGGACTCCCCAAAAATCCTCTTAAAACCAAGCATGCAGCAAAAAAGCTATGACCCAAATCTTGTTTATAATTTCCCATCTCATTCCATTCTATAAAAATCAGCTTTAAGCAATTTATTAGTGTGCCACCTAGGCTTCATCCATCTTTATTTTAACAAATTGCTATGGCAAATCCCTTAATCCAGGCCCGAAAGAGGTAAGGCTGGCATTTCAAAATCACATGCAACCCAGAGACGATTGACTGCTCTAATCTGCTTACCCTCCCCCAGAACTCAACAGCCACTCCACATGCCAGGGCAGGAGCAGCACTTGGGTCACTCTGAAACGAGTCAAGGGCAACTGATGTGATTATCTCAGGGAAATGAGAGACCTTGAACTTCCAGCTCAGTCTTAGGCTGAAAACTTGTGTGCTCCACTGCTGGGTGCAAGACTGGTGTTTTCCCCCTCTGGCATGAAGGGGGAAAAAAGCATCTTTGGCAAAAGTTTGCTTTGACAAATAGGGACGCCTAGGAGAGATGACAAAATTATGGATGGCACTAAGGGGCAAACTCCAGTTTCCTTACACCTGCATGGTCATTTCTGTACTGAACACCCCTCTCTGGGCAGACCTCTGGGGACACTGCAATGCCAACATCATTGGGAGTAAAATCTGCCCAGGAAAGTCATGGCATGGAGCAGATAAACCTAACAAAAGCTGAGGGTACCACACATAAAGTGACAGCCACGTACCACCTGAACACCACTGGAATTGTGATTTCTGTGCTTTTAACATGCACAACAGTATCCTTAGGGATAAATATAGAGAAAAGCATCAGCTTCTTTCCCTAATGCTATGAATCTGGTGTAAACACATGGCATCCCAGTCTCTTCACATGTGCAGCCAGAGATTCCCATCAACTCCAGCAGGATATCAGTCTGTGTCTTGGGGGGAACAGCAACAGCAGAACGAGATTCTTCACTGACTACCTCTGACAAAAAAAGGGTCCTCTTGGACATCACATACTGAGGACAGAATTTTGCAAATAATGTCAAATTTCACAGTTGTTTGATAAGCTGAATCAGTTGATCAATTTGTTCTGCTCGTCATCCTCTTTGCTCTTCACATCTCAGAAGCAGCGAGAGGCACAGACAAGGGTTGTCTTTTTAAATTCATTATTATTATTGTAAGATATTTTAAATATTATATTAAAATACAGTTCTAGGCAGAATAATCTGTTCTGTTTTACTACAACTAGTTTAGATTCTTTCAACTAGATTAGCAGTGTTTAGTACAGCGTTCCCATTCATTATTACACACAGAGTTACAGCAACCTCCAAACGAGACACAGTCTACTCCATTCTGCCATTATCAGGGACATCCATGGACCCTGTAAGAAATGGCTTCTTCCTTGAAGAATTCACAGAGGATGGAGGAGAAGGAAACATGATCAGACTGTTTCATAAGTGGGAAATATGGGACAAAGTAAGCTTGTCCAAGGTCAGGCAGGAAGTTTCTGGCATACAAAGGAAATGAATATTGATCTCATGAATTTCAACTGTTGCATAACTAATAAGGGACATCCTCCCCTCAGTCTTATTCAGAACCATTTTATTCTACAGCACGGTCGTATTTAGTTTGGCAGATTTACTGTTCAGGAGAAAACAGATTCATGCTCCAAACCTGCACCTCAGAGAATAACTGTCACAGAATCTGTACAAACGATCTCGTCACCAGTTCCAATTTACCTTCAGGTCGTCTGGAATGAAGACTTTGCGAGCTTTCTTAATCATTGGCTGTGGTTTCAGCTCTTCTTCAGAGAATTTGCGCTTACGAGGGTCAAACATCTCCTGGCCAGGAATACTGGAAAGAGCAAGATCTGCAGGGTCAGGTTCGTAGCCAACAGGAACTTGGATAGTCTCAGGATCAATGGGACTTGGTGTGTTTCGGTTTGCTGGCAAGATCTGACCTACAGAAATAAAGGATAAATTCAGCTATGTTAGAAGCAAATACGTAAATAACATCACTGAACATGGATTTTTAGAATATCTCAACTTACTTTACAAGCAATAATTCTTTAAGCTCTCGTTGCAAATTTGATATCTACTCTTGCTAAATATTTGATTGTCCATTTTCTAGAGTGCACATTCAGATCCAGACACGCTTGTATCATTATTTTCAGAACTGGTTCCTAATTCTGGTTGCTAATCCTGGATGAACACTTAAGATCACTGAATCCAACCCTGAGTCGCACTAGACTGCTGGCAGAAGACATACTGCTCCAACTCATGCCACTTCATTAAGATCACATCCTCAAGAACAAATCATAAGTACTGTCATTTAGCTCTGATTTATCCACCACACTGTCTTCCTTTCCAGTTTTCTCATACACAGACCTCTTCATACCTGCCTTTGAGGGTACGTTTAGTTGACAATCAAACAATATACAGCACTTGCAATAGGACAGTATTTCATGAAAATGTACTTTCAAGCTGCGCTGAAACACGCCTCTAAAGAGACTGCTATTTGCTATGAAATCCTACTGGTGATATTCCAAAAAGCAGTGAAGTAAACTAGCAACGTGAAAGGCTACAATGACTACTTAAAGACGCTCTGAAAAAAACTGAAAGAACACTTATTTATGCCACATTGCTCTTTTGTGGTATATAACATCTAATAAAAAGAAGCCTATCCCGAGACAAGAATTGTTATCTCCCCCATTTTTCTTTTTTAATCTTAGATATAGCCTTTAAGACCTACAGCACCAATTCAGGCACCATTCTCACTAAAAATCCAATTTAAAATCTCAACCACAAGTTCCAAAAATAGGATCCTAAAGTCAGCTGCCTAAACATGGGCTATCCCCGGGGGCAGAATTTTCAGAAGTTTCCACATGCCTCAGAAGTACAAGGCTCACTGACTTCAGAGGGAGGCCTTCTGATTGAAGCAGATATTCCTTTATAATTTTGGCTATTAGCTAATTCACTTTGACTTTAGACATACGACAGCTTTCATAATAACTACACAAACATCCTGTGACTGCGTAATATTTCCTTACTTGTGCCTGCATCTACAATATTTAGGGTGTAAAATGGTAAACATTAAATGTCATTTCTAATTCCAAACCAAGGCCAGTGTTAACAATGTAGTTTTTATTTTAATCTAGAACATCATGGCAACAATATTGGAACTGCATAGAAAATGCACCAGGGAATTGCGTTGTGCAAACCAGGGCTTGTTAACAGAGAGTTCCTCTTTTGTAACTCCTATTTTAAAACAGCACTGATAAAATCAGCTTCCAGGAAAGACTAGCAAGGGCCTGGGAGAGGAGAAAAGGAGGATCAAAGTTATTAAAATACATATACAGCTATAGGAGAGGGAGCGAGAGGAAAGGATTCCACTACCCGCGTTGTGCCAACAGTGGAGCGCTCCTCCCTCTGCCGCTGCCAAGACCTCGGTGCTGGAAACTAGATGTTTCCTGCTGGGCCTCATTAACAGAACGAGAAACCATGGCCTGCCCGATTGCCGGCCACGACGGGGGGGACTGCAGGGCAGCGGCAGGGCAGAGCTATGGCAGCAGCAGGCAGCAGCAGGCAGAGGTATGGCAGGAGCAGGCAGGAGCAGGCAGAGGTATGGCAGAAGCAGGCAGAGGTATGGCAGGAGGAGGCAGGAGCAGGCAGAGGTATGGCAGCAGCAGGCAGGGGCAGGGCAGACGCATGGCAGGAGCAGGCAGGGGCAGGGCAGAGGTAGGCAGAGGTATGGCAGCAGCAGGCAGAGGTAGGCAGAGGTATGGCAGAAGCAGGCAGAGGCAGGCAGCAGCAGGCAGAGGTATGGCAGCAGCAGGCAGAGGTATGGCAGCAGCAGGCAGGGGCAGGGCAGACGCATGGCAGGAGCAGGCAGGGGCAGGGCAGAGGTAGGCAGAGGTATGGCAGCAGCAGGCAGAGGTAGGCAGAGGTATGGCAGAAGCAGGCAGAGGTATGGCAGGAGGAGGCAGGAGCAGGCAGAGGTATGGCAGCAGCAGGCAGCAGCAGGCAGAGGTATGGCAGGAGCAGGCAGCAGTAGGCAGCAGCAGGGAGAGGTATGGCAGGAGCAGGCAGGGCAGGGCAGAGGTATGGCAGAAGCAGGCAGCAGTAGGCAGGAGCAGGCAGGAGCAGGGCAGAGGTATGGCAGCAGCAGGCAGGAGCAGGCAGCAGCAGGCAGGAGCAGGCAGCAGCAGGCAGCAGCAGCGCCCTGTGCCCGCCCGGGGGCGCACTCGTCCGGCCGTGGGTCGGGGGGGGCGGCGTTGGGCAGCTCCCGCCCCCCCGCGTTGCAGGGAAGGAGGGCTGAGGGCAGGGGGGGCTGAAGGAAAGGGGGCTGAGGGCA